GGGGGGGAGGTAGAAGGAAGAAGATGAATGGGACGGGGTGATGGTCTGGTAAGAAAAAAAATCTTTCTTTAAATGTATTTTTTATTTGTTAATTACATTTGTTAAAGTTTTTATTACAGTTTATACATGCCATTCTATAATTAGTTCATTCGACATGTGATTGGCGAGTGTAACTCAAGCATATAGTATGGCGAGTGTAATTACGAGGTATTTTTAATTGCCAATTGAAGTGTCAAAATAGTAAATGGGTCAGTTGAGGCCGTTTATTCATTTGCCAATTCAAAGGAAAATAAAAATTATTAGTCGAAACAACACAAGAGCCTAGCCTGAATTATGTTACTCCCTCTATCACTTGGAATGGACGAGAATAATCCATTCATACCCTGCAAAGTAGAGAGTTGTCAATATAGTTTAGAGAACTACTCTCCAAACTGAATAATGCACTAGTTTATTTGGCTGATTGTAACGATCCGGCCGGTCGTTTTTGGGTGTTGTAGCTCTGTTCCCCTATTTACCGCTCATTTTGCTTATTAGTTGCTATGTGACTTGTCGGGGTAGTTGGTTCGGTTCCGAGGATGTTTCGAAATGACTTGAGACACTTAGCCTCAAAGTTGAAAGCTTAAGTTAAAAAGGTTGACTGGATATTGGCTTATGTGTAAATGACTCAGAATAGAGTTTTGATAGTTCCGTTAGCTCCGTTGGGTGATTCTGGACTTAGGAGTGTGTCTGGATAGTGATTTGGAGGTCCGTAGTTGATTTAGGCTTGAAATGTCGAAAGTTGCAAAATTAGAAGTTTTGGAAAATTGAGAAGTTTGACCGAGAGCTGACTTTGTGGTTACCGGGCTCGGATTTTGGTTCTGGGAGTTGGAGTAGGTCCGTTGTGTTATTTATGACTTGTGTGCAAAATTTGAGGTCAATCGGACTTGATTTGACAGGCTGCGACATCTATTGTAGAAGTTAAAATTCCTTAGTTTTTATTAGGCTTGAATTGGGATGTGATTTGTATTTTTGATGTTGTTTGAGGTGATTTGAGGGCTCGACTAAGTTCATATCGGATTTTAGGAATTGCTGGTATATTTGGTTGAGGTCCCGGGGGCCTCCAGAATGATTCAGATGGGAATCAGGTTGAAATATGGACTTGAGAGGAAATCTGGGCTACTGGTGTCTGGTGTCATCGCACCTGCGGGGTTTTGGTTGCAGGTGCGTGACCGCAGAAGCGAGAGAATGGTCGCAGGTGCGGTTGGGCGAAGCTGGGCAGTGATCGCAGGTGCGAATAGTTATCCGCATCTGCGAGGTCGCAGCTGCGGAGATGTGTCGCAGGTGCGAGATTGGGAAAGAAACCCTGGGGGCGTAAGTGCGGAAGTATATCCGCAGATGCGGATGCGCATCTGTGCATGAGAGACCACAGATGCAGAAGTGGGCTGGAGGTCCTGGATCGTAGAAGTGATGGAAGATCCGCAGAAGCGGGACCGCATATGCGAAAGCATAGGGTAGATTATATTAATTTGAGGGTTTGTGATTTTATCATTTTTGGACATTTCAAGCTCGGGCTAAGGCGATTTTTGAAAGGGATTTTGAGGGGTTTCTTGAGGTAAGTCACTTGTGATCATTTTTATTCAATAATATTGTTTCCCCATTGAATTTTCAACCTAGTTTGTGTGTTTTTTATGTGGAAATTGGGAGTTTGAGGCTAGGGATTTGAAGAGTTTAATTTGGGTATTTGAGTAGTGATTTGGTATCGGAATCTGGTAAATTTGGTATGGTTGGACTTCCCGGTCCTCTCGTACTAGGGAAAGGTCCTCTCAATGCTCTAACGCCCACCCCGGATATGGACCGAACTGTCTCACGACGTTCTGAACCCAGCTCACGTAC